GCGCAAGCCCACAACAAATGCGCACCTCTGGTACTTTATCTACGATTCTCTGATTATTGTCTTGAGCGCTTTATCTGTTACTTTCTGGGTCCTAGGTGCTCAGAGTCCCCTTCTATACCCTTTCGACTTTGGACAGTGGTTGCTTGCCAACCCGAAGATCAGCACCATTATATGGACAGCCTGCGGTTCTGTTCTCGCGGCTGTTTTTATGTTCTTGCTCAAGGGTGTGCTGATTCTCATGTCTAAACAAAGAGCACGATCAGGGACCACTCTTTCTACAGTTGAAGGTATACTCTCTGAAAATTGTGTCAAACAGCTCACTCACCGAAATTAGGATGGAACAAGTGTGCAAACGAACAGCCCCTTCTCGATTCTCAACGCGCTCTGCTGTCTGGATTTACGGTGATTAATTGGCTTGTCGCTTTAACACTCACAACGGCCTTCACGACACTCCTCACCCCCACTAGTATCCTCGTAAGTGAGGCTATACTTGGTGATGAGGTTGACTTCACGGCCCCTGAATTCTTAGAATGGTACAACTTGAGAGATGCAGACGGGATACCGAAGAGGAAGATTTACGGATGCACACGATATACCTACAACTCATCCCTCGGGTCTATCAACTTCCCGACTTGCCCGTTTGCAGACGACCCAGTCGCCTGTATTTCCGCGGGGGTCTCTGCTGCGCAAGAATCCCTTGGTGCTCAGAATGCCTCCGTTCGGGTGGTTGATAGCCTCTTCAAAGGCTCGACCGGCGGTGTGCTTCCCCTCGGCTTTGGCGGCATCTCGGCCTTCAGCAACGTTGGTTTTGAATCGTGGCCATCTACTACCAAGTACCCCCACTTCAACTATACCCTATCACAGCAAGGTCTCTCAGCAGAAATATCCTGCCACGAGACACCAGGCACGCCCATCCAGTCCGAAACTCTCCAGAGTATCAACGTAACAAACTCCGCCCAAAACGCGGATATGCTGTTGGTCAAGTTTTCCGTACAGAACGACTACTGTGACTCCACGCATACCTGGCTTGTCCCGAGTCTAGGTATCGTGGCCCCCACGTTATGCCAACCGGACGAAAATACTAAGAAGTATGAGCTGTTTCTGGCGTCCTTTGGGAAATATTCAGCCCTCCCCAACATGGCATGTTCGATCGAACCGATCATCACGAAGAACGTTGTGACCTATTCTACAACCACAGGCCTTTTCACGTCAACAATTGTGGAAAGGCTGGGTGGTTCGGCTGTGCCTAACGAGACTGCCGAGGCCGTCTCCTGGCTCTTTATGATTTCAATCACCAGCTGGGTACGTCATGCTCTATTCGTCTTCGCTGATTTGCTTTACACACGCACTGACTGCAACCACCACGGCAGGGAAGTGGCCTCATCGATTCTGTGCTCAGTCTCAACACGACAGGGAAGAATTCCAGAGACTATTCCTACCGAACCGCTATCGAAGATGTGTTACGTGGGATCGTCGAATACGAGGGCAGTACATTGCGTATCTACTACTCAGCGAATGAGGCAGCCGGTCGCAGCACTTTGAATGGCACGTATAACGTTTTTCGTATGGGGTATAACCATACGCAACTCACGTCTCTTCTTATCGTGCTCCCATTCATCGCATATCTGGTATTTGTCTCAGGCTGGTATACAATAAAGGGACTTAAGACTGGTGTAGCGATTGACGATACGTTCGATCCAACAGACAGTGCTGCACTGGTTACTGCAGCAGCAGTGGGAGCTTCATCCGGGAAGCTTGACTTGGGAACAATGAAGGAGCTTGGAGAAAATCATAGCCTGGTTCGGGAAGTTAAACGTAGGTACGCTGGCAGAAAGGGGGGACTAGTGACCGCTGAGGTGACGGAGAGCAATGAGGTTTCTAGCATAGATGCGTAGATAATGATAACATTTAGCGCATCACTTTGCTGGCGACATGAATTACCTCTGAAAGCTGCCGACATTGCCTATGGCCTTGGCTGTTGCGCTGATATCCATGTCACTATTCACTTGTATGGTTAGCCTCCCATTCAGCTGGGAAACACGTCTTCACGTGTAGCCAATCCGATGACCAGACGAACAAGGCCCCGTGGCGGCGGATATCTCATCTTTGACAAAGTTTACGTCGCGGCAGCATGCTCTTTAGTGAATACCGCCCCACGGCCATCTTCAACTTGTATAGCCTCGTGAGGACTTGATGAATTGTGTGTCTTTCGACCTCGTCTACTCCAAACGCCAGACGAAACATGAAGATGATATATGGGAACAACAAACGGATGAGTCTCAGCGGAGCGGCCGAGATGATAACCGGCTTAAGCCCCTCGGTGCCGAGCGCCTACGCGACGCTATATCAAGATTTCCCATGCAGAACCTTCCACGCAACCGAAACGCCGTGTACGCCGTCTGTGTCGAGATGCAGAGAAGAAAGAAGCGCCGCCCTTAGCTCCTCAAGGCTTCGAGCCTGTTGCGCATCTGGTCCATCATAGCCTCGGCATCCTCCTCTTCCTCCTCGGCTTCGACCGGCTTGGGCTCCTGTGCAACGGGTACGGCGGGGAGCTGTTCCTTGGGCATGCGGTCCTTGAGGATCTCTCCAAGTACCTTATCAACCTCACCCTCGGCCTCCTCCTCTTCCAGCTCGTCCATATCCTCTGGCAAGCTCTCGCCGACCATCTCCTCGATGATACCAGCCTTCATCAGCTCTGCGCTCAATTCCTGCATCGTACCGGCCAATTCGGGTAGTCGGATCAGGCGGTTGACGTCCTTCATGACGCCGACGCTTGCGCGGATGCTACCCTCGATCTTACGCACGGCAAAGGCTTCGTTGACCTGCATCTGGACGCTGTTGAGCTGGGCCTTCGAAGTAATGAGTCGAGAACTTGTTTTTCGCGCGCGGATGAGCTCGCGGGCAAAGTCGCGGGCTTCCTTTTGTGCTTGCTTCGCCCGCGTGGGGTCTCGTTGGGCTCGCTTATCGGCTTGGACGATGAGTTGCTTCGTCTTGGCTTCGACTTGTCTGACTTGGTTGATGTCGCGGTCTAGTTTGCGGATGTTGGAGCGCATGAGAGCATTGCACTTTCGCAGCTGCAGGAGAGGAGTCTGGTCAGTGTCTTTGGTGTTTCGTCGGGCGGTAGAGCTGCCGTACCTGTTGCTGCGGATCGGGCTTGACGAACAGCGATTTGAGGGTCTCCATGATGAGCTGGGCGGCGGACAATGGCCGGTGAACGCCGTCAATGTGTGGAGATTCGGCTTCGAGGCGTAGGTGCAAGCGCGGGACTGATGGATGCGTGATGGGCTGTCGCCAGCCTCGTTTGTTGGCGGGTTCGATAAGCGCTGCCTTGGGTCTGGGAGCGATGTGTCGTCATTCCCTGTGTCGCTGCCTCAACTGATACGGGCCGTAGTGGGGGACTGTCGTCACGTGGAGACGCTGCAAATTGTATGCGCGTAAGAAGGAAAAGTATAATACCGGGGCGCGTCCGTGGTAAACCATGCGAATCACCAATCGGGGCGAGGAAACCTTCGGCTCACTCTGAACAGGCGGCTTGGCGGACAGCTCAAGCAACAAACTTGAGTCTAAGGTTACAGCTGCTGCTAGTTCATCCTGTCGACTTGTCACATCTCTCGGCAAGTGCAGAATTATCAGGATTGGGTTGTTCTGACGCAGAAAGTGACATCTCCATCGGATGGTATTCTACGGACACGCAGAGGAGTCCAAGTTGGCAGGACACATACTGCGGTAATCCGCCTCGCCCGGCAAAGTCGTATGCTAGCAAATGAGGCCCCAAGGTGGGGGGATCCACGATGATCTCACTGCACTTAAGATCTGATGGGAAAAAAGACGAGATGAAGCTTGATGACAAGCACGTTCTGTCTCAGATGGAGCAAACGGTACTCCGACAGCACGGTACCACAACAAGGCACTTTATGAATAGCAGGTGAATACTTCGCGGACGCCGACGAAAGGAGCAGCGCAGAAAACAAAGCTGTTTCGTGTTTGTGCCGTGTTTCTCGCATGTTGCGCCTCACTCTGAGCTGCAGCAAGCACACGCACGTCCAGCGAGCCAACCCAACTCAGTGCGATGCCATGCCTATTTCGTGGGGTTGCAAGGGGGGCTGGAAGTCTACCGCAGCAGTGCTGCACGCCCAGCCAGCACTGAGATGCCTCTTCCAATTGCAAGCAAACGTCAGCAGAGAGGGGAAAGAGCAGGGAAGGAGGTACTTTCGGCTGAGTGGGCCTCGCCCCAGAGATCGAAGTACCTGGCAGCCGCTGGAAAAGCAGGCGCGAGGCTCAGCCTGCAAGTCCAGAACTCCAGCCAGGTACCTGGCGCAGAATCGCTGGACGAAAAAAAAAAGCGAGTGAAGGATCTGACTGGCAGGCGGAAGGGCATGAATGGCAGACAAGCAAACTGGAAAGAGCGCGCCAGAAGAGGGGAAGGGAGTGGAAGGGATAGGATTCCTAAGCGTACAGTGCGTTCAGCCCTGCCAGGGTCCGGTCCGCAGCGGCCCAGTGCAGCACTATTGACCTGGGTACCTAAGGTGAGGTGACTTGCTTAGGAAAGGTACTGCCAGCCTAGGAGGTAGGTACAGCTCGTGGCACTTGGTGGGCTGCCGTTGCCTGCTGCTGCCGTTCCAAATCTTTCGAGCGCCTTCTACAATTGCCCGTGATCCCCTAGGCGGTAACTACGACTGGAACCCACCCCGGCCTCACCCCAACACCAGGGCCCAGCCTTTTCCAACCGTAGCCTCACAAACCCCTTCTTAGCTTCCACTCTCCTCCCCCTCGCACACTCTGATCTTGCTCCTACCTTATTTCACACCCCTACCTACCTTACAACACAAGTCAGTCGTCCTCTGTCACAACAACAAACCACCTGGCGTGTTAACTCTTCTCCCAGGCTATATTGCAACTTCTCTTGCGATATCTGCGAAACGTTTGCGCACCCGCGTAAAATAACTACCCCTCATCCCCCGTCATAGCTCCTTACAAGAATCACATCCACCACCACCAAAATGTCCGACACCACGGCAACTCCTGAGGGTACGTGCAAAACTTGACTGTCGTATTCGAGGTGCCAATCGCCGCGCCTTAAACCCGGACAGCCCATTTACCGACCTTGCCGTTGTGTGTGCGCAGCAAGCTAACAAGTCTTCAACAGTTCTCTGGGCCCAGCGCTCCAGCTCCTCCGACGAGTCCAAGAACTTCGTCTACCTGACCATCTCCGTCCCTGACGTCCCGGCCTCCAACCTCAAGCTCGACCTCAAGCCCACCGGCCTGAGCTTCAAGGGCCACTCCGACTCTCTGAAGCGGACGTACGCCCTCGACGTTGAGTTCTACGCCGAGATCGACCCCGCCGAGAGCAAAATCAACCACACTGGCAAGAACGTCGAGCTCAAGCTCCAGAAGAAGGAGCTCAAGGAGGAGTACTGGCCCCGTCTCCTGAAGGAGCCCAAGAAGGTTCACTTCCTCAAGACCGACTTCGACAAGTGGGTCGACGAGGACGAGCAGGAGGAGGCTGGCGAGGAGGACTTCTCCCAGTTCGGTGGCATGGGTACGTGAAAAAAGCTCGAACCCCACGGCGAACACTTCTACCCCGCGAAGGCGGGGCTCTCCGCCGATTTTCCAATTTCCGAGTTTCCACGTTGCTGACATATGCATTTGCAGGTGGCATGCCCGGCATGGGCGGCGCTGGCGGCGACTTCGGCGGCATCGACTTCTCCAAGCTCGGAGGCGGTGCCCCGGGTATGGAGGACGTCGACGACGAGGAGGAGGATGAGGATGACATGCCCCCTCTGGAGGGTGAGGAAGACGATAAGGCGGCCCCGGCCGCTGGCAAGGCTGCCGAGAAATAAGCTGGTTCATTATTCCCCTCTTCACCTGTCGAACCCACTTCGAGAGATCGACTTTTCCCGGTATCAGAGCCAGCTCCTTGGCAAAAGCAGCAGGCGTTTTCGGCTCTTACTTACGGGACCGCGGAATCTACGCTCTAGACTCATGACCTGAATGTACTCTTTGATCAAGATAAAAAAGAAAGACGTTATGTGTGATGTGTGTTTTGGGGGGTTATGGACGAGAGACAGAGAGACAAGGCATTCGGCGAAGAGATATGACTGTTCTCTGTTTCTTCATCCAAGGATTTTAGCTGAGGCGGTATTCGGTTCTACCTGTACTAGGCCATTACGGATGGTGTCGTCTGGGGACTAGGCCGATTCATCAAGTCAATTCAACGATCTTTCTCCGCCCATTCTGTTCATCTGTAACATGCCTAGGCGGTGCTTTTGGGCACCTATGTGATGACGTCTGACCTGTTGTCAATATTTACCATCTTAAAACAGGCTGGAAAACACTGCGACATCAATATCAATAACATTTGGCAGATCATCTACCGTAGACTGACGTAGGCCTCGCTTGCTGGCATCGGTCTTACGAATCTCGCGTCATCATGACTTTCAGAATCACTCAGATTTGAACTCATGTCGGGGGCTCGGCGTTTTGTGTATTAAAGTCGCTCTGACTTTGGGGTTTGTTATAGTACATGCCCTGCTACCGAACAACCGGGGCGAAGCAAATGTATATGTCGGTACCTTGTCAGTTCTTTCGAACTGAGAGCACCATTTTGGTAGTTTTGGGTTGAGCCGAAAGGCTGGGGAGGCAATCTGTAAGTTTGAAAACCAATGCGTGTCAAAATCAAAGCCAGAATCCCGTAGCCTCCGCTCGTCTACTCCCCTTCCAGCATTCTGTTGTGAGAGTCTCACGAAACGCGCAAAAAGGAAAGATCAAAGGCGCCCCCACGCGTTGTCCTTCTTCAACTTTCTCAGTACCTGGCATTCGTGGGCGTATCCGAGGCCAAGTTTATGCTCGAGCTCGGTTTACATGATGTCCTCCTCCATGGCGGCATCGCCGTTCGTGGCAGCTGGGGCGGGAGCCGCAGCATTCTCGTTGTTAGCGTTGCCAGACTCGAAGTAGTCAGCCATCTCGGAGTCAAGTTCCTCCTGAGTCTTCTTGGCGGGACGACCAGAGCGGGCACGGCGTGGCTTCTTGCCAGCCTGAGCATTTCCAGCAGCAGGACCCTTGCTGGCATTAGCGTTGCGCTTATTGATGGCAGCCGACTTGGGCTGAGCCTTGGGCTGACTGAGAAGCTGTTAGTGTCGAGCCGGGAATGATTTGCTCATACTCTACTTACGAAGTGCGCTCAGCAAGAGTCTTGGAGGGGGGGATGACGTTGGCAGCTTGAGAAGCACTGACAACAATCTCAATCTGTCGTTTGTTAGACGGGTTCATAAATAGCAGCATCGTGTGTATCACATACCTTGATGGGGCGGTTGTCGACGAGAAGACCGTTCAGCTTCTGGAAGGCCTTGCTAGCGCCATCCGCGTCACGGAAGGTAATGTTCGCGATGCCGCGGCTGACGGAGTTGGGTCCGTAGGAGATTTCTACCCTCTTGATGGGTCCAACTGAAGTGAGGAAGTACTCCTGATGGAAGTCGATGTTAGTTATCCGCAAGCGCTGTATATCAATCACAATCGTCGTCTTCAAAATCCGCGCCGGGCAGGGCAAGAAACCGAGAAATCCAAGAATCGCCGGAGCATGGGACAATATAAGCGAGCAGAGCAGTGAGCGTTAGTACGCGTGTCAGCGTCCATCCCCACAGGTGCCCAGCAAAGTCAAATCGTCTGCGCGAAGTCGCCATCTTGTCGAAGGGTATCACCCCAATTCGGAAAAGAAACAGTCGCAGCTAAGTCTCGGAGCAGTCGGCACTGGCACTTTCGCCAATAGGCATCTTTCAGCCATATTGATCGCTTGCACAAATCCCCCGGATCCCGCTAGAATTCGAGTCATGCTAGGTCGGCGTATCGATAGCGGTGAAGCTAGATATTGGAGCCATCCTAGCCTGTACTGCGCTGATGCTCACTGCTGTGCTCGCTGAAAGGGCTTCATCTCGTGTTGCTTGCTATGCTTTGTGGACAGCATTCGCGAACCAAGCTGTTGATTGAACATGACGTGACTACCAACGTCCCATTTGTTGCAGTCTGCGCTATCAATCTTCTGAGGTGCTGACCAGGCTACCCGAGATGACGATTTCATGGCGCGACCAGGGCGTGCTCAACTTCCGATGGACTCTGCACCATATCTCAGGAATTGCAGCATCGAGGAAGGAGTCTTGCGGTATCTTGACATGTTCCAGCTGGCAAGTGGCAATGGCCACCATGGGTTTCATCTCGCTACGGCGCCGGTAGGGAAAGAGGACGGGCGAGAAATGACAGGTCGAACAAAGTCCGAGGGCTGAAGAGCCTTATCGGCAACATACCTTGATCTGTTGCTCGGAGACATCCTTGGGCTGCGGAAAAGTTAGTAGGAGTTTGTAGCGATACGGGCGTGCGACTTACCAGGTTGCTCACGATGACCTTGCTGTCACCAGAGCCTTGCGAGGGCTTAGCGGCGTTGGGCTTGTTTGCGGCGGCACGCGCAGGCTTCGATGTCTTCTGAACACCGCCGACTGGGGCAGCGGCCGCAGGGCGACCAGTGGAACGGCGCTGGGAGCGACGACGGGGACCGCCGGAGGAGCGACGCTGAGTGGAGAGGATCTCGTCAAGAGACTGGTCAAGCTTGCCAGACATGGTGAATGTGGATTTGGGGGACGTTGGTTTGAGGGTATAGATGATTTTGCTGCGATATATTTGCGCAGCTGGGTCGGTCGCTTCTGACAGGTAATCAGGCGATGGGTCGCGATGCGATACGGTGCGTCGTGTTTTGAAGGAGAGGATCTAAGTTTGACGCGTTGAAAGTTTGCGCGAAGAGCTTTCTTGTGAGAAGTGGTCGGTCCGAAAAAAAAAAGCAGTGAGGAATACAGAAGCTGCGGAGCAATAGTGGTAGCGCAGCGATGGAATGAAAAATTATTATGTGAAAGTCGAAGTGGTCGTGACGGTGGTCGAGATTTATGAGTCTTGTCTTGGGAAAGGAGAAGTGGTTGCGGAAGGAGGATAGAACAGTCGGGCGCGGGCGAAAAGGGAAAGGAGGCAGGCACGCGGGACAGTTTGCCAGCGGAGCGCCTGAGCCAAGCAGGACCAGGCTGCGGCGCGCCTGACAAAAACAAGAGGGGCCTGAGGCGGAGGCGTGATTGGATGGGGCTAATCTAAATTGGGAAAGACCCGGTTGAGCTGTTGCCTTCCGACCCAGCGCAGGAAGCAACGGTCCGCATCTGAGGCCGCACATCCTTCAGCTGGACCTTACGTAAGGTGTAGACGCACCTCTACAGCTCAACTCTTAGTGCTTGCCCAGCTCATCAAGCTTGCCCATGTTCATGATAAGCAGCACCATTTTGGCCTCAAATTGTATGCCCAGGGCCACACCACTCTAGTTTTCTGAATTTGACGACGTTTTGTGTTCGAATCGTCTTTGAAGCAAATCCCAGGCAGTTTTGATTTAACAGCTTCGATGAAAGAATGTGTAAAAGCTGCATTGTTGAAACCGCCGTTTCCTTTTCTACATTTTGGTACTACCATGCGCAAGAAAATCTTACCAGTCTCTTTGGTTAAGCGTGTCATCCTTGTGCAGGGGCCATGCTAATCTTCTCTGTGTCGTTACAATTTGACCATATGCCCGCAGGCGAAAATAAGGGACAGTTTTTTGCATTATAAGGCTGACGGGTCGACGAAGGAGCAGCTGACAACACCGTCTCAGGCGGCGCGCCGCGGGGCTGAACACTGCCAGTCATCCAGGGTAGTTGGCAATACGCCTCACGTCACAAATTTCCGAAAAGGTTCCTATGCTCATATTTGTGCTTGAATTATGTAGACCATGCGACATCTGCTGTCGCAATGGGTATATCAGACCCCGTCGTCTCATGAGGTAGACTGCCGTGAAGCGATCTATCGCTGCTGTGCCTTTTGCTTGTAGTTCTTTCACACATGGAGGGTCTCTGCGGCATCCTCTGTCCGCAGCATCCTACCATCCCCCGATCTCCTGATGTGATGCCTCGAAATTGGACGTCGTCTTGTACCGCACGACGCTTGTAGTAATGTGGATACTTCAAGAAGCCGCCGCGGATTATCGTACAAGCAATTGTTTGTTCCTTGCTCTATGTCCCGACTGGCGGTAAGCCGACATGTATTTATGAAGAGCCCTTGACCTTGGCGGGCTTCTCTTGGGTCTTGTCGTTTTCCTTGGAGTTGACCTCAACGAAGTGGTAAAGGATGATCAATACCATGGCTGCGGAGCCAAGGAAGATCGCAAGGCGGTAGAGATCGTTGTCGGAAATCATGGTGGACGAGGAATTGGCTGCGCGACAGCAATAGGGGTGTACGTCGAGGATGGGTAGCTTTGGAGGGTAACTGTTCCAATGGGTCAGCTTCTTTTTTCCGTCATCCGGTAAAGCAATACGAAGCAGGTCCTCTTGACTTACGCTGAGATTTTCCGACTCGAAATGCGACGAATTGACCAGCTTCTACGACGTGTTGCTGAGAAATAGTTGCGCCGCGCACATGGGTTTGAGGTTGGTGTTGAGCCGAACGGGACAGGTAGACAACTGGAGCTCGCCGCGCTAAGGCCTGCCGCCGAGTGACAATGGACTTGGGTCCTCCGCAGTAAGTGAGGTACGTAGACGGTAGCGCGTCCCAGTCCCGGCGTGAGCAAGGCCTCCTTGACGGTCCGCCCCCACCAACGCAAGCCCTTCACGTGACCCGCCCACTGTGACTTGGACTTCTGACTTCATCCTGCCTCACATTCTGCCTGGATTTCTCGAGAGCCGACTTTTTTGCGTCCTGTCGATCGAAGCGGATCCTGCCTTCCTCGACACATCAAGGCAACCATTCCCATCGAGACCTCCCAAAACCGCAAGAACCCGACCGACACAGTCCTTACAGAAGCCTCCGGGCTACCCCCGCCACAGTTTTCTAGACCCCGTCGAATACCCCGCCAAGATGCCTCCCAAGAAGAATGACAAGGGCGCTGCCAAGAAGCCGTCGGCTTCCAAGGCGGTGGAGGACAAGACCTTCGGCATGAAGAACAAGAAGGGTGGTGCCGCTCAGAAGCAAATTGCTCAGATGAACGCATCTGCAAAGAACGGCGGCAGCGCTGACCAAAAGCGCAAGGAGGCGGAGAAGGCGCAGAGGGAGAGAGAAAAGAAGGCCGCGGAAGAGGCGAAGAGGGAGTTGGACCTCCTCATGAACAAGCCTGCTCAGATTCAGAAGGTTCCGTTTGGCGTCGATCCCAAGACTGTCGTTTGCATTTTCTTCAAGAAGGGCAACTGCGAGAAGGGAAAGAAGTGCAAGTTTTCCCACAACCTAGACGACGAGAGAAAGACAGAGAAGAGGAGCTTGTACACCGATACCCGTAAGGACGAGGAAGAGAAGAAGAAGGCAGAGACGTCCGCCGACTGGGACGAAGAGAAATTGCGCTCGGTCGTTCTTTCCAAGAAGGGAAACCAACAGACAACGACGGACAAGGTCTGCAAGTTCTTCATCGAGGCCATCGAAGACGGCAAATACGGATGGTTCTGGGTGTGTCCAAATGGAGGCAACGAGTGCAAATACAAGCATGCTCTGCCACCAGGGTAAGTGAAGTCGACGCAGAACCCAAGACCATGACTAACCTAACGACCTGTAGATTCATCTTGAAGACCAAGGAGCAGCGTGCCGCCGAGAAGGCTTTGATGGACAAGTCACCCCTCAAGACTCTGACCCTCGAAGACTTCCTCGAGTCCGAACGACACAAACTTACCGGGACCCTTACACCCGTCACCCCCGAGTCGTTCGCCAAGTGGAAGAAGGAGCGCATGGACAAGAAGGCTGCCGAGGAAGCAGCCAAGAAGGCCAAGGAAGCTACTGGTCGTGCTCTGTTCGAGAGCGGCAACTGGCGCACAACAGAGGACGACGACGACGCCAGCGATGACGACGACGACGGTGTTTGGAACCTGGAGAAGCTGCGCGCAGAGACTCAGGCTCTGCGGGAGAAGAAGGAGGAGGAACGATTGCTGGTGCTCAATGGCGGCGTCATGCCTCCAGCAGCGGATGCGGCTTCTGGGGCATCTGGTTCTTGAATTTTTTACCAGCGAGACAACCAAATTGTACACGCCTGAGGCGGCGAGCATCACCACGAAACGGGCCGATTCCGAGCACCTGAAGATCAGGTTATCCGGCGGCCATGTGGATGTGACGCCAAGCCACATGGCGGAACGGTCTACTTTTCAGCCCTAAGATCAATGAAGTATGACTACGTTCGCGACGTGCATACCACGTTATGAGGACCGAAATCGTGAAAGCTTCCACATTGAGAGGGTAAGGATGAGGGTCGCTAAAGGCCCCTAGATACGCCAGACTGAATCTGTTGATTACTTCTCAATTACAGCGCAGGTCCCCCTTGGCCTAGCTACAAGCACGCTATCTTAGAACTTCTCAACGTACGGTCTGATGTCAACCTCTTGCGTGAAGGCTGACCGGTGCTGTGTGTGCAGAAACCAGTAAGTGTCGGCGATCTGGAAGAATTGTTAGCTTGGAGTTTAGCTAGACAGATCGAGCATACGTACGGCCTCCGGTGATATCTTGCCGTCTTCCACGCCGTCGTTGACCTGGAACTCCTTGCCCCATGGCGTGTCGATACCTCCGTCGATGATGGCATGAGCCACGTGCACGCCCTTGGGGCCGAATTCTCGAGCCAGGGACTGACCCAGAGCGCGCATTGCAAATTTGCCCGCCGCAAAGGAGCCAAAGTAGGCAGAGCCCTTGAGCGAGGCCGTGGCGCCGGTGATGATGAGAGAAGGCGGGTGCGGGGAGTCTGCGACTGAGTCCAAGAGAAGAGGCAGCGTCTTCTGGGCAAAGGAGAAAAAGCCCTTCCTGCATCCGAGGTCAGCACGCTCACTAGCTTCGAAGGTGACATGTGCACGTACGGAGCGGCATCTAGACTTGTGTCAAGGTCCTTCTTCGTAAGCTCCAGGAAAGGCTTGCGAGCGAAGCCTGCGTTGACGTTGTAAATGGCAGCGGCGAGCCTGCTACCAGGCAATTCCTTCTTGATAGTCTCAAATGCGGCATTGATGGCGGTCTCGTCCGTCGCATCGGCCGTGATACCAATGGCCTTGCCACCAGACTGCTTGATCTCATTCACGATGTCATTGTAGCTCTCTGGCTTGCGGGCGAGAAGCACAACGGGGTAGGTCTGCGCAAAGCGGACGGCAGCAGCACGGCCTGGCTCAGTCGTCAGCTTTACTATCCAGGCCCGTCATCGTAAGAATTGTAGATTACCTGTTCCGGAGCCGGCTCCGGCGATGATTGCGTAGAAGGACTTGGACGCCATATTTCTTGGTTGTAGGTACTCGACTATCTGTTCTAGGCGTTCAATGACTGGGGTCATTCGTTGGATAAGCGGGTGGTTATCGAATCGTCGGTTGTTAAGGCAGCTCAACAATTGTAAGACTGGCGAAAGCTCAGTGAGGGGTGAAGCATTTATGTCGATATGGGCTTCAGGCTAGACTCTGCAGCCCGGAAGGGGATTAGACCATGGGTCGAATGCATGACGGCATGTGCGGAGGGCCGAACGGGACGACCGATTAATAATACCCATCTCCTCCCTCCGGCTGCTCCAGTTACGGCCTCCGATCCGGTCCGACCGAACACAAAAGAACTCAATTGACAGCTTATAAGCCTGAAAGTCATGATTAAAGTCACTCAATTCGATTTCTCTCTTGATGTTCTCCTGTCACGATGGCTTACATGTGCGATTGAAGGCTCGCTCCATCTACCTGTCAGGTCATGATTTTCGGTGGTAGATGATGCCATGGCCAATTTGATGCCAAGATGCCCAACTGAATTGTATGTCAGTTCTATTTGAGCAGTCGTATGTTTTGTATATATAAAGAAGAGGTTGTTTCTTGAAACAGATGAGCCTATCCGTAGAGCTGGAGAGCTGTCACAGAGCAGGTGCAACCCGCAACTCAATCCGATTAGGTAACCCCGCTTATTTTTCCAGTGTGAGGCGCGCTGTCACCTACCTTAACCTACCAACACGTCGTCACCTCACTCCATCAAACCCTTGGCTCAACGTCCTTCACCTAACGGTCTTTCAGTGAGTCTTATTGCTCAGCCATATCATTTAGTCTGAATCATACCAGGTCGTCTCTCGTTTTCGGCTATTCTCAACTCCCCAGAATCAAACCTCCGACCCATTTGATCCAAAATCGGTAGGCTCCACGAGTTCGTCTGAGCTGAGACACTATCCCTGAATCTCCCAACTTTGCTCAATTGCAATCTCACCAAGGTTGCCAAGATGCCGCCCCCGTTGCCTTCAGAACCGAAACCAAAGTACGGTATTTCTCGCAGTCACATACCTCTGCCTCGACAAGGCACGCTCGACGGATTCTTCAGCCGTCGTTCGGACAGCAATTTCCCACCGGCCAGAACACCTGCTGCAGCGAAGAAGACATCCCCGGCACAACCCGCACAGAAGTCGAACTTTGCTGTCGTCATCAAGTCCAGTCCCAGGAAACCCTCGCGAACAACTCCAACAAGAACGGTAGAAGATGATGCTGACGACTTGGTCATATCCGACCTCTCTCCTCAATTCAGGAGGCTCGCAGCTCAGGCGGCTTCAAGCGTGAGCCTGTCCAAACCGGCCTTGCCAGACATGGACATTGATGAGCCGGAGGATGAGGTCGAGGCTGAGGTTGAAGCAGCGTCATCCGGCACGGCTCCTCAGCCGCAGTCAAAGAGACGCGGCCGGCCCAAGGGGGCTCTCAATAAGTTCCCACGGGATGCAGGAGAGGGACCAAGGAAACTACGCCCGGACAGGCCAAAGGCAGGTCAAATGTACGCGGGAAAGCAGAAGCGGCGTGGTCGACCACCAAGGGCAGCTTCGCCTCAACCGAGGGCCATCTACGAAGGTCTGAGTCCACACTTCAACGTCTACATTTGCGAGTGGGAAGGCTGCGTGGCTGAGCTTCACAACTTTTCTACCCTTCAGAAGCATGTTGCTGTAGCACACGCGAGAAACCCGCCGTATCGGTGCCAATGGGCCAAGTGCGCCAAACAGCAACCGATTTGCGACTTCCCCACATCAGAGGACCTCGAATCACATATTGAGGATCTACATATGCTTCCTGTCACCTGGCAGGTAGGGGACGGGCCGCAGGTGTCAGTCAAGCGATATGCTCCCAATGATGGGACCGAGCTTCCAGACTACCTTTTCGACGAGGCGGGCAACCAGATCACACCGTCGATCCAGGATCAGCGAGAGGAAGATTTCCTTACTTGGCGCAACAACAGGCGAAAATTCAAGGACCTTCTTCTCCTGCGAGATCAAAACCTGCTTAGTGAAGAAGAGGACAACGGAGCAGAGGACATGCCGGTAGACGAATGAAGGGGACAACGGAGCAGAGGACGTGCCGGTAGACGAATGATGTGGCTGACCGTTGCACAACGTGACACATTTCGTCGTCGACAGCGGCAAGAGGCACTGTAACCACAAGACGGGCGAGGCGACTTAAGCATGCCAGGA